ATGTGGTGTCTGTGTGCATTTGTGTGCTATGTATGTGTTGTGTGCACCGTTGTGCATTCATGTGGTGTCTGTGTGCATTTGTGTGTGGTGTGTGTATCGTGTGCACTGTTTGTCATGTGCATTATTACATGTACTTGTTATGTGCATTGTGCATTGTGCGTGCCATGCGTATGTATGCAGTGTGGGCATTTGTGTGTTATATGTGCACGTATGTGTGTTATGCATGTTTGACTGCACACACACGTTATGCGTGTGTGTAAATGGCATCTTGGTCCCCTAGGGGAGAAGCCTTGAGTCTTTTTGGCTCTGCCATGAGTCACACCTGTGGGCTTGCTCTGCAGCAGTGACTCACCATGCAGAAAAACAAAACCAAAAAGTCCCTTCATGAATATTTGGCTACTGAAGATAAGGCCACTGACTCATCCAGGGAGGTCAGGATGACTGTGCATGTCCTGCTAAGAATGCAGACTTGGAGAGAATTGGTTTGCAAACACTGCATCCAGAAGCAGAGGTTGAGCAAAAAGCCTTTTAGGTAAAACTATGCACACACAGTCGTGAGTTTTCCTGCTTTGCTCCTTTCTCTTTATGGCCGTTTGGTTTCTGCTCTGGGACACCCTCCTTCCTGAAATGGCCTGTTTTCCCTTCATGGCCCTGTTGCCTTTCCCGGTCTCCCTCCCCGCCTCCTCTGTTCCTTCTTAGATTCCTCCTCCTTCCCCGGGCCTGAGCCCTGTTTGCCCCCAGCGTTCTGCCCCGTGCCCAGGCTCTTCACACAGGAAGGGAAAGCAGCTATGCTTTTTTTTTTTGTCCTTTTTGAGACCGGCCACACCACGCTCAGCCAGTGAGTGCACCAGTCATCCCTATATAGGATCCGAACCCGCGGCGGGAGCACTGCTGCGCTCCCAGCACCGCACTCTCCCGAGTGCGCCACAGGCTCGGCCCTCTTTAGAATCTTTTAACCCGGAACGTTTCCACCTTTTTTTCCCCCTAATGCTTTACTATTTTGGATTTAAGAGGGTGGACGTCTGTCATGTTGAATGTCTCACATTTTGGATTGGTCTTATTATATTCTCATGGTCTCCTTTAACTTGCTCCTTTATGTGATTCCTCTAGACTGGAAGTTAGGGCTAAGGGCTTGATTTGATGCAAATTAAACATTGGCAAGAACTCTTATGGGTCTTGCCTTGAACTCTCTATGTCGTATCTCCTCAGGAGGCGTCACCATCAGTGATGCTAAATTTGACCACTTGGTGAGGAAGATTTCTCCATTGCAGAAGTATGTCTTTCGCTTCACAATTAACAAGTAAATTGTGGGCTTCTTGTCCTTCATTCTGTTAATTGATATATCATATTTATTGATTTGCATATGTTGAGACATCCCTGTATCCGTGGGATAAATCCCACTTGATCATGGTGTATGATCCTTTTAATGTGCTGTTGAATTCAGTTAGCTAGTGTTTTGCTGAGGATTCTTGCATCTATGTTCATCAGAGATACTGGCCTGTAATTTTCTTTTAGTTTCCTTATTTGCCTTTGATATTAGGCTAGTGCTGGTCTTGTAAAATGAGTTTGGAAGTATTCTCTCCTCTTTGCTTTTTCAGAAGAGTTTGAGAAGGATTGGTATTAATTAGTTCCTCTCTAAATGTTTGGTAGAATTCAAAAGTGAAACCATCAGGTCCTGGGGTCATTGATGGGAGATTTTTTGAGTACTGATTTGATCTCCTTACTCATTACTGTTCTGTTCAGATTTTCTGTTTCTTCATAATTCAGTCTTGGTGGGTTGCGTGCTTCTCAGAATTTATCCATTTCTTCTAGGTTATCCAATCTTCTTGTGAATATTCTTTCACCAATGACCTTTCACCCAATGGTTTTAGCATTCACTGATGATCCTCACCTAGGTCAGTTGCTTTACTGGAGGATTGGCAAATTGGTGATTTTCTACCTTTCTCATTCTTTGTACATTAGCTGGCATTTTTTCTGTAAAAAAGAGATTTTCCTCATCTTATCTGGATTGAACAAGAGTTCCTCCTAAAGAGGCAAGAGGAAATGCTTAATTATTCCCCCTTAATTACCAATTTTCAGAGAGCACAATTGGTATTAATAGTCACACCAAATTATTTATTTATTTATTTATTTTCCTTTTTAGATACT